CCTCGTCGGCGTGATTTTTCACGACTCGAGGGGGTCTGGGCAGTGCGACGCCCGGGCCCACGAGTAGTAGGAGGAGGAGGAGGAGGAGGAGGAGGAGGAGGAGGAGGAGGAGGAGGAGGGGGAGGAGGAGAAGGAGGAGGGGGAGGAGGAGGAGGAGGCCCAGAGATCCAACGCTCCAAACAGAAATTGGAGCGGGCGTTTTGAACCGTTTTCGGCCTCTGGGGGCCCTCGCTGGGCCTCGTGACCGTCAAACAGCGACTCAGAATGAGAAACTGGTCCCGGGGGACGGTCCCCCCCAGGACGAGGGGGAATTTCAACATGGGAAACGGAGTAGGACGAGTTTCGAGCTGTTTTTGATGGTTCTGGGGCCCGGTGAGGGCACCCGGAGGCCGAAGATGGCCAAACACACATCCTGACGTGTTTTTTTTCTCTCACGACGCGAGGGTGTCAGGGCGCACCTCCTCCCCCCGCTCTGTTTCCCTTTTTCCTCCCTCCCTCCCTCCCTCCCTCGTCTTGTTCTGGTCTCCAGCGGCTGTTCGGGACGATTCAGGCGCCCCCGGAACGCTCTCGGCGAGGCGCAGCTGCCGGAGCGCTGCCCGAGGCAGGACAACCTCCAGGTACGGAGAGGCACGGCCAGAAAACTTCCAGGACCCTCCTGGAGAACCTCCGCGAAAGCCTCCCGAGGCAGGACGACCTCCTCAGGAGAACCTCCAGCACCCCCTGGGGAACCGACCGAGGCGGCCGAAGACGACCCTTCTTGCCCCGCAGGTGGCGGAGCGCGGGGCGGCCCCCTGGTGGACCAGCAGGCCGGTGCCCTGGCTGACCTCGCGGGCCCTGGTGGGGGCCTGGTCGCTGCTGGCCGGGTGCGTCGTGATGGGGCAGCTGGTGCCTCCGCGGCCTCCCAAATCGGACTACACACGCAGAAAGCTGACCTCTCGCCAGAGTGACCTCCTGGTGCGGGCACACCGGGACCCCCCGAACGCCGCGCACCAACGGCCTCTCTTGCCCAGGGTCACTTCTTGCGTGTGTCGCCGACAGGTAGGGCCCGGGCGTATGGGGTCCGAGGACCGCGCCGCGACGCCGATGCGTCGGCGGTGCAGCAGCTCGACTTGGTGGGCGCTCTCCTCCGCGCCGGCGCCGCCGAGGCACCGCCGACGTCGCCGCTGCATCGGCGATGCGGGGGCGTGCTCCGACGCCAGCTGCTCGGGCCCCACCTGGGAGGCCCCCAGGTGGTCATGTCGTGGGCACCGGCCCGCGGGAAGGATCGGACGAGGAGTAAGGCGGGCCTGTCCCCCTACAGGGGGATTTGTCGACGAAAAATGCAAGATACCACAAGCACAGTCAAAAAACATACCCAAAATAAGCTGGGGACTATTTTTTGAATATGTTTTGACCTTTTTGTGATATTTTTGGGATATTTTTTTTTTTGGTCGAGAATCCCCCTGTAGGGGGACAGGCCCGACAGAAGACGAGGAGGAGCGGCACAGACAGGACCCTCGGAGGCTCGCGAGGAGCTTTCTCGGCTCTCGGCGCCGGGGCCCCCCGGGCCTGCCGCGCGCGGGGTGCGCGAGGGGCGCCCTGCCCTATAGGGGGGTGGGGCCCAGCGCCGAGCCGGGGATGCTGCGCGGGCCTCCGAGCCCAGAGATCCGAGGTCGTGATTTTTTTTTCCGATGCGGCGCCCCCCCCCCCCAGAAGTTCGGGGGCGGCAACGAGGGGGGGTGGTGACCAGGGGGATGGGGTGGATCTCATGGCGTGGGCCATGATATTTCCCCAGATTTCATGGCGCCTCTTCTCAGAGGCCAGCAACATATGTACACGTACGCGGTTAGCTTCCCCTTGAGTGCGTGTCAACGAGGACGTTCGTGCAGGCAAGACCGCGGAGGACGTACATGTACATATGTCGTTGCTCGCCCATCTTCTTATTTCATTACGACCCTGGCCCCCCCCCGCTGTCCCGAGAAGTCTCGACCCACTCTCCCGGGACCGGTTCCTTCCATCCCGAGGCGTTTCTCTTGACGGCCTCGGGGCCCGGCGGCGAGGGCCTCCGGAGGCCGAGAGCGGCGAAAAAAGCCTCCGTTCGGATTTTTTTATCTCCAGGCGTGGGATCTCTGGGAAGCCCTCTGTGCGCAGGCAGCTCCTTCTCCCAGAGGAGGCCCGCACGGCGCCGCCCGACGGCGAGGACCTCGGCTCGGCCGCGAAGGAGCTGCTCGGGCAGCAGGGCTCCGACGATCAGCAGGGCGCCGTGGGCGTCGCGGCGGCCGCCCTGATGGGGCGCCGGCCGCCCGGGCGCTCGGGCCCCCCCGCAGAGGGCGCCGCCACGGAGCGCATCTCGAAGAAGGAAGGGCAGCACGAGCAGAACCTTTCGGAGCGCACAGATCTAGGCCTCCCAGATGGGGTCTGAGAGTCGCTCGGTATCGTCGCTGCATCGGCGATGCGGCTCGATGCGGAGCCCGATTTTGTCCACGCCGACGGCGCCGATGCATCGGCGATGTATCGGCGATGCATTGGCGATGCGGCGCGATCTTCCGACACTAGAGGAAGAGGAGGAGGAGGAGGAGGAGGAGGAGGAGGAGGGAGGAGGAGGAGGAGGAAGGAGGCGGAGGAGGAGGAGGAGGAGGAGGAGGAGGAGGAGGAGGCGGAGGAGGAGGAGGAGGAGGTGCCCACTGCACCTCCCCCCACATCCATTCCTTGATCCGGTTTTGCCTCCTCTTCTTTCTCCCTCCAGGAGGAGGAGGAGCAGGAGGAGGAGGAGGAGGAGGCGGAGGAGGAGGAGGAGGAGGAGGAGGAGGAGGAGGAGGAGGAGGAGGAGGAGGAGGAGGAGGAGGAGGAGGCCGAGGCGGAGGCGGAGGCGGAGGAGGCGGAGGAGGAGGAGGAGGAGGCGGAGGAGGAGGGAAAGCGAGAGCACGAAGCGGACACGGAGAACACCGTTCGGGTCGATCCCCGCCGCTTCGGAGGCCCGCGCGCCTTTTTCTCGGCTCGGCCCACGGCGGGCAGGTCCCTCTGCAGGGGGAATCTTCAGAAACAGCCAGGACATCGCCAGTTTTTTTTTTTTTTTTTTTTTTTTTTTTTTTTGTTTTTTTTTTTATTATGTAAAAAACTATCCTTGGATATGTGTTTGCGCATGCTCTTTTTTATAGTTCTTTTCTCGAAAGTCCTCCGGTAGGAAGATTTTTCTTGACCATCTTTGGAGATGCGTTTGAACGTGCTCTGACTATTTCTTGTATCCTTCCTCGAGAATCCTCCTGCAGGGGGGCCTGCCCCACCCGAGGCTCGGCGCTTGGCCCCCGCCCTATATTTTTTTAAATCCTTTCTCGAACATGCTCCTGTAGGGGGACCTGCCCGACCCGAGGCTCGGCGCGCTGGGCCCCCGCCCTCCCGGGGGGGCCACGTGCGAACCCTGCCGCTACCCCCCCCCCACGAGTTCTGACGGGTGGGGGCGTGGGGTTCCTTTTTGCTCGGGAGCTCCCGAGCGAGGTGAACCCCGCCCTCCCCCTTAAAAAATCGTGGGGGGGGGGTAGCGGTAGGGCTCGCACGTGGCCCCCTATATCTTTGTATCCTCCTTAGAAATCGTGTGGGGGGGGTAGCGGTAGGGCTCGCACGTGGCCGTCTATATCTTATTATCTTCCTTAGAAATCGTGGGGGGGGGTAGCGGTAGGGCTCGCACGTGGCCCCCTCTATCTTTTTACCCTTTCTCGAGACTCCTCCTGCAGGGGGACCTGCCCGACCCGAGGGGCTCGGCGCTGGGCCCCCGCCCTCCCGGGCGGCGCCTCCGGCGCGCCCTCTCCCGTGCGGCGCCCTCCCGTCGACGCGCCACGGCGGCCGGGGGGCCCAGGGCCAGGCCTGGAGATAAGATGTTCCAACCTATTTAGCCTTGACCACCAGAAAGAATTTCGAGCGCCAGAAAAAAGTACCGAAACTCATGGGTTTTCACGTGTCGGGCCCTGGGAGACACTTGCCCGGCACCGTTTTGACACCGTGTCGATACTCTTTGGACACTTTTCTGGGTGCTCGAAGTTATTTCTGGGATGTGGTCCTCAAGTAGGATGGGAACAGCATAAGCCTGTAGGTCCGCGCGGACCTCGGGCCGCCCCCTCGGGCGCGGCCCAAAATCCAGGGGGGAAAAAGCACGCAGACACAAGTAATCGTCGATTCCCCAGGAAGATATAGGAACATATGGGAAATGGGGGGGAAGGCAAAAACCCAGAAAGTATTAGGGAACTATGGGAATCCTGTGATTTGTGTGTATTTATTAGAGTGTCCCAGGGCCCCTGCACAAAAGCGCGCCCCGCGCGCCAGTGTTAGGTCGGGCATGTGCTCCTGCAGGTGGATTCTGGAGGAACGAATTCGAGAGAGCCCAAGGATATTCCAAAATAGTCAAAAGTTGTCAAGACGTCGTCCCCCATATTTTTCTTTGGGCTGTTGTTGGATCTTCCTCCTGCAGAGGGACGGGCCCGACTCGACGCCAGCGTCGGGGAAAAGCGTAAGGCGCGAGCGCGCCGGAGCTCGGGCCTGCCGACGCCTTTGAAACGAGCGCGTCCTGGATTTTTTCCGGATCTTCCGGCATTCTCGCGGGACGTTCGCAGCGGGAGCGAAGGATTGCAAAAAAACCAAGGATTGCAAAAAAACCCTTCGTTTTTTGAATCCTGTTTTTTTTGCAATCCTTCGTTTTTTGAAATCCTGTTTTTTTTTGCAATCCTGCGTCCAATGTCAGATTTGGGCCGTCGTCATTTTCATGGTGGCCCCGTCGGGCCAGCCAGAGTCCCCCGACCTTTCGAGTCCTGCGTGAAGCCCGACTCTCTGGCGCGGCCCACGGCGCGCGCCCCGCGCGCCAGGGGGAGGGGGGCCGCTGCCGATCCCCGACGGATCGGCGCGGACACCTCCGGACGCCCATGCTCGTGTCGCCGTTGCTTCTTCTGGCATCTTCGAAGACTTCCAGGCGCGCTGGGCCCACGAGGTGGCAGCGCAGGGTGCGGAGCGCGCGAGCCTGCTGCGGGTCCTCTGCGGGGTGGTTGGCTGGTCCTCGATCGGCCTCATGGCGCTCCTCGTTGTCTGGAGCTTCGTGGCGAACTCGGTGCTTACCGTGCTGAGCGTGGAGCTGCTCCTCGGCTATCAGCAGTGGCGCTCCGAGGAGGAAGAGAGAGAGAGAGAGAGAGAGACCGATGGCGCTGCTCGTCCCGGAGAGTCCTCGCCACCATTCCTCGAAGCGCTGGTCAGAGCGCACCCGGGGAGATCTCCGGGGAGGGTACTCGGCGGCATGGGCACCCTTTTGCCTCCCCAGGTTCGCCGTGCACGGCGCCGTGCTGCCTCCAGACCCGTTCTACTCCTGCCTGATGGTCCTGGCCGCCTGCTCCTTTGTCCCGCTGCAGGGCGCGATCGCCAACGCCCTGCTCAGGCTCCAGGACTCGGCATCGTCGAATTCGCCGATCCCCGTCCCCACTGGGCCGTGGTGTCTCGGGTGGGGACGGGTCCCGCGGGGCCATGTGGGGACGGCACGCATCCCCACCCGCGGGAGGGCAGGCCGGCCAGTGGGGCCAACAGGCCGTGCCAGTGGGCGCGGGGATCGGCGAAGCGACGCTCACAGGACGGCCGCGCCAGTTCGCGGCTGATCACCGCGCTGGCCATGGCGGTGCACCACAGGGCCCAGCAGCTGCCTCGGGCGCCGGGCGGTTCCGCTTCGCCCGAGGGGGTGCCGACCGTGGGCAGCATCGAGGAGCTCTGCCGCGACAGCGTGCGCACGGCGCTGCAGTGCGCCGCGGCCCCGCCGAGCCTCTGCGCGCTGCTCGCCCTGCTGTGGCCGAAGATGGGCGCGGCCGCGGCGCTCGTGGTCGTCGGGCTCCTGCCGCTGATTCTCTTGGCGGCTCGCCACCTGCGCGGCATCGCTGAGATGAAGGTGGCCCGCCAGGTCGCGGCGCAGCGGCGACACGGGCTCTGGAGGGGCCTGCTCGCGGGCCTGCCGGCCGTGCGGTGCCACGGCTGGGAGGGCCCCCTGGTGGCGCGGCTGAGGGCCGCGCGGGCGGAAGAGCTGGCCAGCGTTAGGGCCATCCACACCGCCACGCAGCACGTCGCCGCTGTGGGCACGGTGTGGCCCCGCCTCAGCGGACTGCTGGCCCTCGCCGCCTACGCGCTGCTCAGTCCGACGGCGGACGGGCAGGCGGTCTTCTCCCTGCTGCTGGTCCTGAGCTACGCCGCCAGCCAGCTGTCCACCCTGGCCATCGGGGCCTCCAGGCTGGCCTCGCGGCGCGCCGCCCTCGCGCGCCTCGAGGCCTTCCTGCTGCGGCCCGACGCCCAGCGCGCGCCGCCTGCGGCGGCCGCGGGCGCCCGGGAGGCCCTTGGCGCGCCCGAGAACACCGAGAGGAAGGAGGCGCTGAGGCGCGTGCTGCCGTCCTCCGCGGTGCGCCCGGCGTGGGCCCCCGCGCCAGGCCCGCCAGCGGGCGCCGAGGAGCCCAGGGCGCGAGCGCCCCGGGGCTCCATCTTCCAGTACCTGCATGCCCTCGGCGCTGGCCGCTTCGCCAGCTTCGCGGTGCTGGCGTTGGGCTCTCACCTCTCCCTCCTGCTGGCCGACGCCTCGCTCGCGCGCTGGGCCGGCGAGACGGCGGCTGGGCCTGGCCCGAGCCGGCCCGCGCCCCACTTCTGGCTGTGGACGTGCGGGGCCTGCTGGGGCCTGGCGGCGTGCTTGGGCGCGGCCGGCAGCCACGCCGGCGCCGCGTGCTCGTGCTCGCTCTCCGACAGGGTGCACTCCGAGCTCGTGGGCGTGGTCGTGGGGGCCTCGCCCGTTCGGGTGCTGAGAGGGCGGGCGCCGCTCGAGCTGGCGGACCGCTTCTCCGAGGACCTCGATCAGGTGGACCTGGGCCTCTGGGTCCGGGCCGCCGGCCTCACGTCCGCGCTCTGCGGCCTGATGTGCCCGCTGGCCTACGTCCACTCCGCGATGCCGCCCGCGTTCAGCCTGGTGGCGCTGCCCTTCTACCTGGCCATTTGGCTGTTCGCCCGAGCGTTCGGCGAGAGCGCCGCGCAGCTGCAGCGGGAATGCCAGGAGCGCCGCCGCCGCGTGCACGCCCTCGTGTCTGGGGTGCAGCGGGCGGCAGCGCCCGCGCCCTTCGCCGAGCAGAAGGCGCAGCGCAGCCACAGTGCCCCTCATGCCGTCGCGATTGGAGCTTACGTGGGCGCGCTCTTCGCAGCGCACTCCGCGGGGACTCAGCGGCTCATCCTGCGCCTAGGAGTCTGTCTGAGCTGCGTGTACACCACGGTGGTGCTCGTGGCCACGACGAGCCCAGGGACGCTGGACCATGGCACCTTCGGTCTCACCCTCGTGTTCTGTGTTCTCGTTCTTCAGTCCCTGGAGCGCGCCGTGGAGCCTTGCGCAGGTGCAGAGCAGGACCCGTCGGCTGTGTGGAGACTTTCGGAGCTGCTGACGGCGCCACCGGAGGCGGCAGCCGCTGTCTCTGGGGACCCCCGCGCGGTCAGCCGCGCCTTCGAGGTCGACACTCGAGTTCTTGGGCAGCTCAGCGCCGAGACGGACAGCTCTGGCGTCCTCCGGGTGTGCAGCGAGGCGGGGCAGGCGCTACTGCGCGCTGCAGAGGACGACCAGGTTTTGGTGATCGAGAGCGGCGAGCTGGCGGGCGGCGCAACTGGCGATCCAGCCCCTGGCGGGAGCGGCGAGCGGATCGTTGCCATCAACGACGTCGGCGGCGACGCCCGCTGCATGGCGGAGGAGCTGTGCGCCATGGTGGGGCCCATGACGGTCCTGGCGCGCGACGGCTGGCTCTGGGACGGCGCCCACCTTGAGGCTAGGGCCTCGGGGGCCTCGCACGAAGGCGACGACGGCGACGGCGGCGGCGACGGCGGCGGCGACGGCTGCGGCTGCGGCGTCGGCAGCGACCACGGCCTCCTGGCACCCTGGCAGGTTTGCACTGCGCAGCCCCCGGGCCGCCCTCTTGCACGACTCCTGCGCGGAGCCTGTGCGGTGACCACACCGTGTGGTGAGTCAGAGGGGGGGATTCGGGGTGACCGCTCTGTTCTGGGACTCGGGTCGTTCTCCGAGGATGTCTCGGGCGAGTGAGGCTTCCAAGATCCCAAACCCGTGCGAAGACGGACCGTGTGGTGAGGTCTTTGGGAATTTCGAGGTCACCGCACGGTCTGTCACCGCTCCGTTTCGGGATCCTTAAAAATGATAGGCGAACGCAGTTCGTTCTGGCTGGACGAGCGGCTTGGGCATGCCTCGGTGCGCCGCATGTAGCATTGTATCCATTAAGTTGGAGCACGCACTCAGAGGTTAGTCAGTTTGTCAGTCACGTCTGAAGTAAAGGCATGCTCTCTCAAGCTCCCTTGACGGGTTCCCTCGGCAGATTTTCGCATACGCGCGTAGATTCGCCCTGTGGCAGCGCCACGCCGCATGGAAGTCGCAAAGGCAAAGCGTGCAAAGTTGTCTTTCGCATGTCTTGGGCCTGTCTGCGTGTAAAGCTGTCCCATCTAAGGTCCGCGATCTTTGCGCTGGCTACTACTCCGGCGAGGACGTTGTCCGCTCTGTGACGTTCCAGGTGCGAGGGGCGCAACGTGGCCGGCGAGCGTCGCAGGAACGGGGGGGGGGTCTGATGTGCGCTTGGGCCGATCCTGGGGCTAGATGGAAGCAGCTCCTGCTGGGGCGGGGAGTCCCGGGGTAGCTCCTGGCCGACGTCGTGACTCTGTTTCCCGCCGTGGCGCCCCGCGGAGGTCTGGGACCCCTGCCTGGGGACCGGGCTTACTGCCCTGAGCTCTTTCTTTGGCGCACCCGGGGTCGGGTGAGGGCCCGCAGTGGCCGAAGACTGCCGAACACTTTCCAGCGTGTTCTTTCACTGCGTGACATGTTCAGTCATGGACTCCCTGTCAAGCGCAACCATGCGGCTTTCGCGCCGAAGACCGCTGGAAGCCGCCGGCGACCGCCGCAGACCGTCAGACGACCATCGTGAGGCCGCCGAAGACCGCCCAGGCCCGATGGGTAATTACAGATAATCCGCGGAGTAAGGATGAGCAACTTTCCGAGGCTACCCTTGCATCCTCCCCCTTCGGCCCATGCTTGGCCGCTTCCTCTGGCCGTGCCCCGCTCGCAGGGTGCCGATGTGGTCTCTTCCGAGGCCCTCGCAGCCTGCGGGTTGACTGGGACAAAAGGGCCCGCAGGGTGCCGATGTGCTTCTTTGCTCTGCGGGTTGACTGGGACAAAAGGGTCCGTGGTCGGATACACAGACTCGGCGGCAAGTGAGGGCGGGAGTAGGAGGAGGAGGAGGAGGAGGAGGAGGAGGAGGAG